GAATGAATGAATGAATGAATCAATATTTAAATAAATAAACTTACACATTTAGCAAGGTTGCCACATCAGCCCCAGCTGATTTCCATGTGGGTCCTCTATTCAGGTCGACATGGAATATTATTTCAACATTACAATAAATTACAATAAATATATATTAAGCAAAGACCAAAGGGGTTAGCATGAAGGGAGCATGTTACCCAAGCGAGGGGCAATCTCCGACCATGTGAAATCCAATAAAGTTACAATCCCAAAGATCCCAATAAAATTACAAAAAAATTACAAATAGTGGCACAAGCCTGCAAATAACAGTCGGTCATCGGACAATTGTCCGGTAAATTTGAGGTTTTGACAGGTAAAAGCTTAGTCTGGTCGGACAGTCTGACCGGGCTTTTCTGCTAAACGAAAAATATTTTAACTGGAAATTTGTGACAGAATATGAAGCAAGTTATTTTATTATATTGCCACACGATACTACGGAAAAAAGCTTTGTTATCACAGTGTCGTTTTTATTCCATTTCTGAGAAATAACTCTATCGCGCGCAGTGCATCGTTTCAAATATCACGTCGAATTGTAAACATGCCACATCAGCGCTACCATTCAAGCTTCGTGTTAATGTACGCAGTTTGCACTGGTGTCGTGACAGATCGTGAAGCCCCATTTAGTCTGAATTACATTTGTCTGAAAAACTACTAAAATCTGAGTTCTTATGTTGTTACTTATAGTTTGTTATCTGCAAGTGTTGTGGAATTAATTAATAGTCGTAATTTGACCCGATTGAAACATTATGCAAATTGGATACACAGGCCAAGTTCTCAAGTTTCTTTTATCTGAATGCAATCGCTTTCAAAAACTTCAAAACCTCTAAAACGTAACCAGATGTTTTCTAGTCCGTATGATCCAAAATCAGTTATAGCTCTTTATAGGTGTTTTTAAGTCTGTGATTCAATATAGTTTGAATTAGTTTCCGTGCCGTAGACATGTTTTTGTGAAAAGCGTGCAAATGCACAAATCAGTCACGCTTTGTAGACTAGTCACCAGTCACGACCACTTCCAATTCGAATTTCATCTAATTGCGCAAATTTTTTATTCAATTGACCCCGAAACTTTTCAGGGGAAACTTGCCTTCAGAAAAAGTCGTAGAATTCATTTCAGCCAATTTTCAAGTCTCTGAATGCTATTGTGAGTTTTTATACTGACAAGCTGTCTACGCGGGATTTTCCCGTGGTTTTCTGGGAAA